TGTTTACATTTAGCTCCATGAAGTAAAAAGCTTTGGCAGGATGGTTTCTGCAAATCATGCTATTGTTAAAAGCACATCTACTCTATTTCTCCTGGTCGATTGTTAGCTAAAACTGCCCTGCAATATTTTCAGAAGGGATCTCTACAGGCAGTGAAAAAGGCCCATTTTGGAACATTATGTACTATTTTAGTTAACTATTTGGACTACAGTTAAAACATTTTTATTGACCAATTCATATATCTATTAAATAAGCTCATAGTCTTGTAGGCTTCAGGCATTTTCTGCCTCCTCAAACCTAGCCTTTGCTGTCTCTTAGTTGTTGTTGTTTTTTTCCTGCTGCACACCTCTTAATGTTTTCAGGAAAAAAGTGCCAGCTCAAATTCTTGTATCTCCCACATTTGACTTTGGCTTTTTAAGAGGCAAAACTAGGAAAACACAGCCTATTAGGAGATGATCTCGGGCTGAGTTAACCATAGGTTTTACTTGAGGTCCATTTCCTGTAGAAATGCTAAGGATTGTTAGGCCCTTGAGAGAAAGCAAGAGAGAGAAAGCTATGGGTTCAGCATGAAGATTCAGGCTGCAATCCTATGTTCATGTACGTGAGAGTGAGCACCATTGGGACCTAAAATTGAGTAACAGAAATATAGAAAGAAACATAGAAACAGAGCAACTCAGAAGGGGTCTTCCCTGCCATCTAGTCTGACCCACAGCTGGCTCTGCTCATGACATGCCTACCATGTAATAATGTATAAGATTTTGTAGTTAAATACCATCAGGAGTATAAGTCTTCATTAATGCTTTTTAAAATTCAGTAACTTCTAATTAAGTAAGTGGGTACAGGGTTAGGGGAAAACTGATGGATCATTAAAATCTTGAAAATGACTGCACTTAGGATCATATAGGACAGAGCCCCTTCAATAATCACATAAAAACAAAAGTCTTGATTTTCTCTGTAGCTGCAGAGTAAATGACAATTTGCACCTGTCAAAATTTCCCTTTTGTGAGATGCAAATAGAATCTGGCATTTGTACAATCCCTGGTTTTTCTTTTATAGAAATCTGCTGTTGCCAGAATACAAAGAAAGTGAATGTCACCCTCTGGTGGCTGAAATAGTCAGAGAAAAGCTTTTATATGGGAATAATTGAAAAAATACATTAAAGTTATCTCTATAACTTGAAATATAATGAATATATATGGCACTGCGGTGCATTTTTGTGGTGTGCAGAATAGTGACATCCACATCAGATTCTAAAGCATTGATTATGATACAAAGTGGTTTCTGGTTGACATTAAGACATTATATTTGGCACTAGTTGGACCTCACCTAGAGTACTGTGTCTAGTTCTGGGCATGTAAGTTTAAAAAAGATGCAGAAAAGGTAGAAAGGGTACAGAGGAGGGCAACAAGGATGATTCAGGGATGGGAGGCAAAATCCTACAAGAAAAGATTGAGAGAACTAGACATGTTCAGGCTTAAAAAGAGAAGACTGAGGGGCTTTACAAGAACCTGAAAGAGGAAGGATAAGATCTCTTCTTGTTCATTCCAGAATACAAGATTTGTAATAATGGACTTAAGCTAAAAGAAAGATTTAGACCTAGAAGAATTTCCTCACTGTCACAGCAATATGAGGGTGGAGCCTTTTAGCTGGAGAAGTTGTGGGCTCTCCCTCACTAGAGACATTCAGAAAGCATCTGCACAGCCATCTGAGTGGGGTGATGTCCTGTGATAGATTGGACCTGATGGTCTTCTGGCCCCTTCCAACTCTACTATTCTATGATTTTAAGATGCATTCTGAAATCTTCAGTGTAATAGTTTAATTAGGCTAACTCAAAAACCACAAAAATGTGCAAGCTTTTGTTATATCTTAATCAAGCAAGATGATTTAAAAAAAGCAGGGAGTGGGAGTAAAAAAGTCTAACTAGCTGCTGTTGTCAGGATGCTGCAGGGTCGGATGCCACCTTAAGATGACAGGGAGGAGAGGTTTCAGACATTCAAACTAGACTATGTTAAATGATATAACTGTTCAGTGCTTCTGGGAACACTGAGAAGAAGAAAGTTGCAGACAATTACAGATCTACCATGTTTAAAATAGAAAATTCATCTGTTAACTCAAAACTGGGAAAATTGGATAAGTCATTTGTTGGTGACATCCAGTCAGCTATTTTCTTTCTCTCCCTATTTCCTTCCACCATGCCAGCTTGCTTTCTGTAACCTCTTGCCTTATCAAGAGATCTGGAGATGCCAAAACCTTACACAATTTGCGTGCTCTTTGAGTTGGCCTACTGAAATTTTATAGATCCTGGAATTTTTCGTAAGACCAATATGGCTGCCTTTGGTTCTGGTATTAATAGAGAAGCAAATTTTTTACAGTACACTTCAATATATAGTTGTTGAAAATGCTTTTGAAACAAAAAATACGATTTCACCAGTAGCTTCAGGCTTTGGATTATATTGTATCCAACACAGCTTGGTACCACCCTTCAGACACTATAACTTCAGGTTAGCCCATCCCAATTATTCTTACTTGTTAAGCCACTTCTGTTCACCAAGTATGCAGTATTTTCACTGAATACACTGTGAGTTTAAGTTTAAAAAGACATAACAGTAGCATTGCAGACAAGGGAATTTTATTCTGATATATAGACATAGTTATGCTATTCATTTGTGATGCACAAATCTCAGGCATAAATTGAAGGATGTGATACGGCTGGAAAAAAGGGAAATGCTATTTTGGGCTGCATTAATAGAAGTATAACATCCAAATCATGTGAAGTACTATTTCCCCTGTACATAGCACTGGTTAAGCCTCATCTTGAGTACTATGCCCAGTTCTAGGAATCACAGTTTAAGAAAGATGCAGAAAAAGCTGCCAAGTGTTCAGAGGAAGGTAATGAGGATCAACCAGGTACTGGAAACAAAGCTCTGTTAGGAGAAAATGAAAGAATTGGGCATCTTTAGCCTTGAAAAGAGAACACTGAAAGGAAATGTGATAGCACTCTTCAAGTACTCAAAATGTCACATGGAGAAGGTCTGGAATCTTTCTCGGTCCTCCTGGAGTGCATGCCATGGAATAAGTTGGAATAAGGAAGTAAGTTGTCCTGACTGATACAGCATTAGAACAATGGAAGCAATTGCCTAGGAAGGTTATGGGCTCTCCCACACTGAAGGCATTCAAGACAGTGCTAGAAAGTCGTATGTTAGGCATGCTTTAACTGGAGTCCTGTACTGAGTAGAGGATTGAACTTGATGGCCCTATCAGCTCCTTGCAACTCTACTATTCCAAGATTCTAAGGAGAGTCTTGTGCCTAAAGCCGAACTGACACTTTTAAAAAGAATGCTTTTTTCTTTCTTTCTGGTCTTTGTAGTTGTTACAGAGCTCTCTGTTGTTGTTTTTTGTCTGTTTTGTTTTTCTGGAAGCTTATCACACATTTGATCTTCCCAGAAGGGTGAGCAATATGCAATTCTTCTCCACCGGGTATCAGAAGTCATTGCAAGAGCAGAATGGATGTTGTCTACTTGTCCCTAAATGTGCAACACTCTTAAGAATCATTTGCTTTTCACTTTTTCATGTTGAACTTTCACATTGCAATTTTAGGCAGGCCAACCCAGAATAAAGTCTTTGTTCAATGGGGCTGATCCTGGTATATGTGCTTTAGGTTGCAGCCTTACGTTGCCCTACTGAACTCAGTGGGACTCCTCAAATTGCACTCCTCAAATGTCTCTTATTTAAAGCTCCACAGCCTTTGAACCTAGACATGCAGTTACTGAAAGGCCGAATAACTGGTTCTTCAGATGACAATAATGGTATTAGCTGTAGTTGCAGGGTAAACCACAGTCAAGCGTATTTCTAAAATACTGGCCTCTCAAGCTGCCTGTAGGGTTGGACTTTCTCTGTAGAATCATTGCGGGGGGGGGGGGGGAAGCTGGCTAGAAGTTATACTTTCTGCTAGTCTAAGTATTGTGGCTTTATTTATTATTCCACAGCGACAGTTGTGGATGTTCTGAAGGAGTATCAAAACAAGGTTTCCTTGTAATTGAATAAATCTAGCAAATGTTCCGTGAGGTTTGCAGCTAGATCCTGTAGAACAGGGGTGGGCAGCATCTGGTCCTCCATATATTTTGCTCTATAACTCTTAACATTCTTCACCATTGGCTACACCTGCAAAGGCTATATAGTTAGTTGCGCCTTCACTCATTGAAATCAATAGGTTTAAACAGTATAGGATGACTGACAGTCTGTGTGGAAGTGAGTGCCCTGAGGGACCAAACCTTAAATCGCAAGTTTTGAAGTGGACGGCTAGCTGGCTGTTAGAAGGTCCTCCATCTCCCTGACTCACCATATTCCTTCCGCGCGTGCAGATAGCGCGTTTCCGAGCAGTTGCCGTAGATGCCCACACACCCGGAAAGAACTTCCAGGTCACGGGGGAAGACCTGGCGGGTGATACTATGTCCTGGCACGTCTCATTTTAGAAATAACGCAGTGATCACGTCTTGATAACTCTGCTGCCGGAGGGGAGAAATTCCCGTTTTTTTTTCTCAGATGAACACGAACTCTGAGATTCCGTTCATTTCTCTTGGCGCCGAAATGTTCGCCGCCTCACGCCTGTCCTTCTCCAGCCGTGCCTAGCTCCATTGGCTCTCATTTACAGCTGATAGCTGATTGGCCGGTTCCTGCAGTTCTTGCCATGGCGATTGGCTTGGAGGCGCGGGTCCCTCCTAATGACCCGCCCTTGCGAACAACCCCACCGCCGATTGGCTCGGGCGTACGCCTTGCCTTCCTACGGGACGGGACCGGAGTGGACCCGCCTTTTCCCCTTTCCTCGGGCTTAGTCCCTACCCCCACCTTCCGACCCGTGTCGAGCGGTACTCCGGGCCTCGCTGCGTCGGGATGAGCTGCGCTGCTTCCCCATGGAGACCAAGCGGGCCGAGATTCCCAGCAGCGTTCTGGACGACCTGTGCAGGTAACGCCTCCGCCCTCGAAGTGAAGGGCGAGCCAGCCCCGCCGCTGCTTCCTCTGGCCGTCAGACGGAGTTTCTGCCTCAGGGAGTTGGTGGAGCCGCCTCCCCTGAGGCGCCGCACGGGACAGCGAGGGATGGACGAGAGAGGCTGCGACGGTTCAGAGTCCGGCAGCGGTCTCCACTTTTTACCATTGCCTAAGCACTGTGCCTTTGGTCCAACCATTTACAACCAACGGGGAGGGAGGGACGGAGAGGCGTTTTGTGTATCGACTCTTCACGGCGCAGTGATAGGCATATTTAGACCGAACAAAAGTCCTACAACTCCCAGAATTCCCCAGCAAGGTACAGCGCGATATGAACACTTCTCAACCAGCAACCAGGCACGTACTCTCTTCTACGTAAGTGTGTACGTAGAAGAGAGTATGTGCCTGTGTATGCATGGAAGTGAGTTGGTGGAACTATGTTCTAGGTCTGTTCATGGGTATGAACGTGATCGTAGCGAAAACGTCTTGGCACATAGCAGAATAAGATAAGAATGAACGCACTTAGTATAAGAGTACTTCTAACCCATCCTTCCTCAGCTTTGTGCTCTGGATCTGTCGGTCAAGTGCCAGCAACCCCTAGTTGTATAGTCTGAACAGTGAGCAATTGAATGATCTGGAGAGCATCAGCTTGGAGAAGGCTTTTCTAGATGATAGTGTGGTGTCAGCTGAAGTGTTTATACGATCAAGTGCGTATTTCACTTTGAACATAGACCAATCTTAAATACAGTGGTAGAACCTTGTCAAAAATAGAGCTAGGTTTTGCCCTTACCACTTTTATGCTACATTTCCAGTCCCTCTTTTCTATCCAGTATAATAGTATTTTAACTTTAAATATTAAAGTTGGATGTATGGTGCGTGGGGGAGGGTCCTGAAAGAAAAGTGATAAAGGAAATTTGCCTGGTGTACTCTTCCAGTCAGCATGCAATCTTCTGCATTCTAGCTAAGGAGATTTACATGCAGAGCTGTACTTTGGCATTGAGGTTGAGGCAACTTGGGTTGAGGCAAATGTGTGAATGTCACACATAATGTTAAACTGTTTCTCCATGTGGTCCAGTGTTGCCTATTCTGGCAGCTGCTCTTCAGGATCTTGGAATATCCCGAAATCTGTCTTATTACCTGATCGATCTTATTCGGAGGTGCTTGGAGATTGAACCTGGGTCTTTCTGCTTGCAAAACAGATGCACTACCACTGAGTTATGATCTCTTGCTGTGGCATGAATATTATCTCTGGGGATAATACTTCAGCAGTTTTGCTTGGGCTGGGTAAGCCCTGCAGTTGAATAGAGAGACACCACAGGGTTTGCAAGGTTTAGCTCTGTGGAGCTTGCCCCAGGGTTGGCTAGCTCTCTCTTCGAGAGATCTGCCTGTCTCGGTAAAAGAGAATGCAGTGGTACCCTTTTAGCCACTGTAATGGACTTAGAAAAAGTATGTGAGAGCATTCCCTCCCATTTAATTCCAAAGTTATGATGAGTTCAGAGGATGGCAAAGTATGTTCATTTCTTGAGAGCATGGTGCTCAACCTTCTTCAAAGGCTGTGAAGTGTTATGCCTTAAAACTACTGTGGGAGAGGAAGAAGGGAGAATGAGCTTGGTACATCAAGGTATACATTTTCCAAGATCAGTTATCTTTCCATAGTTCTTTAAACTGAAAGGGCAGCCTTCCTTGCAGGTCCTTTGGGTACTCAAGATGAGCTTGGAGGAAGTGCATTAAGGTGCACCTATGTCATATTATTCATGGTTTATATTATAATTTTCCTTGAACAAATATGTTAACCTTTATTAACCTTTTTACAAACATCACTTTTAACAGTTTCTCACTCTGTAACATACTCTGTAACATCAGAAAGTGGAATGAATGCAACTTCTGCATTTATGTATGTATGTATTTATATCCTGCTCTTTCTTACACCAAGCTCAAAGCAGCTTACATTATTCTCCTTATACACTCAATTTTATCCCCACAACAACAGCCCTATGAAGTAGGTTGGGCTAACAGTCTGTGATGGGTCCAAAGGCACACAGTTGACTCCAAGGCTGCATGGTGACTAGATTTCAGATTGCCTGAGTTCCAGAACTGCACTCTTAACTGCTGAACCACACTGACTCTTATGTCAAATAACCCCTTACTACCTATAAAAAGGAATTTCTTGAGCATAATGTGAATGGACAGTTTAAAAAGAAGAGGAAGGGAGCCTATAAAATATGGTCTTGTGAGTAGTTTGGCAAAATCGTCTGCAGTGTAAGTTACCCCACATGAGATCAGTGGGACATGCTGTCAGGTTAGTATGTATATTATTGCAACCTCAGTGGATTCAAAGCGTTAAGGTTTAAAAAAATCAATCCAAAATTGATTGGAGTACTGATTTGACTTGTGGGAGTAGTTACTGTAATGATTATACTTTGTGTGGACTTGCACCGCCCCCTAGAGTCAGGCACGACTGGACTTAATGTCAAGGGGAAACCTTTACCTTTACCTTAACTATAAGAAATGTTTTAAAAGACATTGTTTGTGGTGTTTGAAGAATTTTCCAGAGCTGGGGCAACAGGACTGATAAGGTCCTTCTGCTGGTCTGCATCTGCTTAATCTCTGAAGGCCGAGAGACTCAAGGATTCCTGAGAAAGACGTTGCGGGGCTGGGAAAGCATGTGTAGGAAAAGGTGATCCTTAAAGTAGCCTGGTCCAAAGTTATTGGGACCAAATTATAAACATCCAGAATCAGCGTTCTAAATTGGGCAGCGCTATTCATGTCTAAACAGTGAACAATAAATACAACAGATAAAGGAATAAAAACAATAAAACCAGGATAATATTAAAACCAACTGGTTCACAAGGAAAGTTTCCTAGAACAAAGACATTTTTAAACCAGTGCCAAGTACAAGACAATGTTGGAGTTTGCCTGACTTCTGGAGGCAGGGAGTTCCATAGAACTGGAGCCAACACATGAAGGCTGTTCTGGTGAACTATAGCTGGACCATAGTTCCATGTGGAACCATCAGGAGAATGCCTTCCAGTGATCTCAGTGAGCAGGCAGATTGGTCAGGAAGAAGGTGCTGTCTTAGATAACTTAGTCCCAGGTCATTTGGGGATTTATACTCTAATGCCAGAGCCTTAAATCTGGTCTGGCAGTGAATAGTGCAGCTCCTTTACCAAACAAGTTGCATGCTGAAGAGATACAGCTCCTAACACCACCAGCCTGCCACATTCTGTACTAACTGCAGTTTTCAGAAACAGAATTGAATTTTAATACATGACAAGGTATACTGCAATTTGAATTAACTGCAGTTTCTGAAGGCAACTCCACATATGACAAATTGCAGCAATCCTAGTTGGATGTTATCAGACCAAAATAACTCTGATCCCACTATTTGCCTTTGAGGGGCTTCAGGCTTAGTTGATCGCAGGTACATTGCATCACTGGGACCACTTGAGTTGGATTGACTACCATCCACAGATTTTGAACTTAGTCATTTGGGGGAGTGAAACCCCATAGAGGAGACACCAACTGCAGCACATGTGAACCACCCACTATTGTTTTGTGTCTTAAAATGTGGTTTGTTACACTCATAAATCTTGAAATTAGCTCATATTTTTGGCTAGTGTCTTGTTTAATTTCAAATGAGATGGCTTCATTTAACAGCCCGCAGGGAGAAAAATAATCCCATTCTTGCTTTATCTGTAATGAACCATTATAGTGTTACACAGGTTGTAATGACAATAATTATGCTTTAGTCAATGATTCAGAACTATTAAACTTAATGAGAGTTCCTTGTTTCTGAATACTGTCCCTTACTGTGTACAACATGGTGGTGGCAACTAGGAAACCTCATCTGCAATATGGTAAACGGTGGCATTATAGCAAAAGTATTAAAAATGCTGCTTAGAAACATGATGGAAGTAGATAGTTAAATAACAATTTAAACAAGAAATTTGTAGCACCCAAATACTGCAGACAGGGCACAAAGGGTTGTATTCTTTGCTCTGTCAAGTTGTGTCAAAGAAAGGTTTAGAACTAGAACTGCAAAACTTAATCAGTTAAAAAGCCTTTTGCTTAATTAGAAACTGTCACACTCGGGTAGTAGATTTCTAAATATTAACTTTTAAAACTGTAAATGGCAATCACAATCTTAACAGCATTCCTAGGTTGTGGATTGACTGTGAAAGTGAGGTTCCACTTGGCCCCACTCAGCCACAGCCACTCCTGGCTTAAACAACTGTGTGTGAACTAGGCCTACCTGCTTTGACTTAAATGTGCAATATCTAAAAATAAAGTATGCTATTTACTTCAGGATTATTATTTGTACTTATTGAAACTCATATAATTAATGAGTTTTGGGTCTTTAAATCAGGTGGCAGCCCATTTTGAATTGATCCAGTAAGCACAGAATTGAGGGTGATTTTTTAGCCTTGTCCCTGAATATCTAGTTAAGTGCTGAATCAAAACTCGTGTTGGCCTGAATGGAAAAAGCTTCCAATAAGTGGCAACTACTTCTTTCCCTATTCATTTAAGGTTGATAGGTTGAGGAAGGGTAGAGTGGATAGAGTACACAGATCTTAAATAATATGTCTGAAAAATTCATTTGTGTCCCTGAAGATTTGGTGGATAAATACTCTATGAAACACAGTGCAAAAATATCAGCCCAGTAACGTTTTAAGCAAACATACTGTCACCTGAAGCCACAGCTTTTACTTGCTAATATACCAAAGCTAGACTTTTCTAATTTTCCAATTATGTTAAGTGGAAGGGTTCTGCCATATGGCATCACTTAAAACTAGAGTGAGGAAAATTTTTATCTCTGCATGTAGTTTCTTGTTTTAAAACTTGGAAAGAATTTCCCTTTTCAGCTTTTAAACATTGTACACCACTTACATTGTTGAGATCAAAGGATGTTTCCTGACTTTTTAGTTTGTTTGTAAGGCAATTAACTATTCAGTCTTTGGCCTTTTTTTTTTTTTTTGCACTTTTGATTTTCAGTTTTGTTTTCTTTCTTTAATCAACTTGTATTGTGTTCAAACATGCTTCAGGGCAGATAGATGCTTGCAAGTACCATGCGGATTCTTAATTTTCAGCACTTTTCCACATTCTTTTCAGTGCTAAATTGCAACTTTTAAATCAAACTCTTCTCTGACCTCTGTATTTACTTATCTAGTTTTCCTGCTAAATTCTTCATTTTTTAATGTAAAGGGGAGATGAAAGGTATACTTCAGTAATACATTCTATGCTTTTTTTGGTTGAATGTATTAATTTAGCACAATTCATTTTGGCTTTCTAGGATGGATCATCTGAAATGGAAAGGATGATCATTTGTTCTGAAGTAAACAGGGATTCTTAGTCACCCTGGAAGTTTAATAATTAGTGTTGGATCCACATTCAAATGAGGTTGGGGTTAGACCTAAGATGCTATTCAATGATAAAGATGTGTGAGGTTTTGACCAACATTAGGGCTGTCTATTTGTTTCTTTATTATTTTTGATAATTGTCTATTGCTTTAATCTGTTTTAACAGTCCTTGTATGCCAAATATTTGACTGTGAAAGGGTCAAATATAAAGATTTTAAATGAACTAAACATAAAATAAATAGTGCCATAGGATTATATGCAAACACATTATACATGACTAACTTAAGTCCCATTGATTTGAGTGGGACTAGGCTTGGTCTGGATCTAACCTATTGTCAGGTATTGTAAATGTGTTGATAATCCTTATGGATTGGTGATAAATTTCTTCTAAAAACTTTCAGGCTAGGTTCACAGCAGTGAAGCTGAATCTTGGATACCCAGAGGCAAGTGAGGGCCCTATAATTCTGTTACTTCTTGTGGATATGTGCTGTTATGTCATCTCCAACTTATGGTGGCCCTATAAATGAAAGCCCTCCAAAATGTCCTGTCCATGACATCTTTGTAAATCCTGTTATGTACTTACCTACAAAATAGCCATTCCCCAAGTTTGTGCCTTCCAGAAGACTTGGATGATCACTTGCAGCCTTTCTAACCATTGGTCATGCTGGCTGGGGCTGATTGAAGTTCCAGATATCTGGAATGTACCAGCTTATGGAAGCCTTTTGCTGGAAGAAAGCTGATGCCATTGTGGATGTTGTACCACAATGTTCTAAATCTTTCTGAGTAAGTAGGTTAAAAACTTTTGTATGGGGCTTTTATGGTATTGAAGTCAAAATGTATTTTGCTTTCATCATCTTTTCATATAGTATTTTATGTCTGTTTACATTCCCTGTAATTCAGGAGTTTTTTTACTTTAGATATTGCAACAATTAGTTCTTAAATCAATTTTCTTCCTCACCCCACAACAGTCGATTTATTTTGCACATTCCCAGCGAGGAACGAGACAATGCAATCCGAGTGTGTTTTCAGATTGAACTTGCCCATTGGTTTTACTTGGATTTCTACATGCAGAACTCACCAGGATTACCTCAGTGTGGGATGAGAGATTTTGCTAAAGCTGATATCCTTTCTATAATACTGCATTTTGTTGTGGATAAACTGTGTTGAAAACATACATAGGGACAACTTCCTATCATTCTTGAATGTCTCTTCCATAACAATGAAGCTGTACTAGCCTTTCCAAATGCATTGCCATCCAGTGACAACTTCCATCATTTCTAGGCAGTGTGGCCAATGGAAAGGGATGGTGAGTAGCAGTCCAAAACATCTTTAGGGCACCCTATTAGTGAAAGCTGAATTATGCTATGAAAGTTGCTTGCATAGGAGTTACCTCCTTTTGCAACAAATGTGACTTGCTTTTAAGGCAACGTACTTTCTAAGTGGGAACTTCTGAAGTGTTTTATTCTCAGCTTTGCTGCAAGTGTCTTATGTGTGCTGTCTGATTTTTTTACAATATTTAAGCCTGTACTGCAAAGTGCATATCACACGGTTTCTATCTTGTAGAGATAGGTATGGCATGATGTATCATGTGTGGGTAGTACAGGGTTTTCTCTTTTGAAGTGAATGGGCACATCCACTTGCAGGGGAGAGCCTTGTATGTTTCTCAACTGCCTGGTCTCACAAAGTTATATAGCAGTCCCTCAGAAGAGATATTTTATGTTTGAATTTCTATAATTATTTACTTGTAGTAGTTGTATGCAACTTTATTCTCAAAGTCATTTACAGGATAATAATTAATCTACATATAATTGGATACAAACATTCAATCAGTTTAAGTTTTAAAAAATGTATCAAAAGAGGCAAGTTCCTGAAGGACTGGTGGGCTAAACTGACTTCAGTTGTGCCTGAAAGAAATGAGAAGACCAGAAAACCTCACAGAGAAGTATGTTACAAAGTTAGAGCCCCCCCCCCCCAATCCCAATTTCCTAGTAGTTATTAACTTAATGTTCCAAACAGGACAAAACCTCAAGCAGATCTCAAAACGTAGTGGCGGGACAATAATGGCAAAAGGGAAAAAGCCTCTCTTTGGAATAATGAGGACTTAGAAACTGTTAGAGCAAGTGTGGGGGCAGTTCTTAGTCCTCCAGATGTTTTGGTCTGTTGCACCATCTTTCTTTACTGACTGTACCTCCTAGTAAATCTAGGAAGTTAAATATTGAAACATCTGGAGGACCTCATTGCCCACACATGTTTTAGAGTGTCATTTCAAAACCAGCAACACTATTGGAAGCTACCTCATAGCCAATGGATATGTTTTAGGATATTACAAATGTATTAGCACCCTCCCTTACCTTGTCAGTAGCTTGGCTGAGGAATTGCATATTAGCTGAAATTTTAGGACCACTTTGAATGCAGCTTTGTGTAATGTGCTTTACAGACATGTAATTGGGCAAAAATGTCAGTGCTGAATACTTCCCAGCATTAGGTGCAGTGGCAAGTTAACTAAAGCACTTAAAAGCTGGCTGGGGCCACAGCAGTTCTCTGAGAAACCAAGAACATTGCTGTGTTTTGTGTTCACTGAAGGCTGAGAACTCTCTCTGAATGGAGAGAGTTTTATCTAACATGAGCACTTCTCTGGGGAGTTCGTCTACTAAGTTACATACCACATCAATGATTACCTCATTTTTGAATGGAACTGTAATTCCTTCTGCTTCACCACTGAGTCCAAACACTTAGTTGCCATTGAGCAAAACACTTGGATCTGATGATGGGTGAAACAGAACAGAGCATTACCTCTTTTCATACCCGTCTTCATTCAGATCTTAAATAGTATAGGAGGTATAATTCAAAAGAATACCACAGGAGAATTCCTATGGAGAGGACTATGGAAATATGATATTATAATTATGTTTTGCAACTTACCTTGTAAGGGCAGAACTCCCAAAAAATGGTGTTCCCATACTGTAGTGGCTGTCTAAATGGTTAAAGAGAGGCTGTGCTCCTCTGTCAGTTTCTTTCTCAAAGTCAGGCTGAAATGAATCCAGGAATGCATCTCATCTAGACTCCCAAGTATTCGCTGCTTGTTTTGAAGACTTGACCATAGCACATTCCTGATTTTTGTTATTGTGGTTGTTGTTGTTAATATTTCTGTACTGTCCAATAGCCAAAGCTCTCTGGGCAGTTATGAACAGCAGATAAGATACAATAAAATATAATAAAAATAGGGTACTATAAAACAATGTAAAGATATGATACAAAATTTAAAAACCAAATATAAAACCAATTTTTTAAAAGGTACAATAGCTTACTTGAATTAATTCAGAAGACCTGTTAAGATCCAGATATAATTTAAAACTAAAGAAATGACCTGTCGTAGAGAGAACAGTCTTAACTTGGCATAGAGAGGATATCAAGGTTGGTGCCAGGTGAGCTTCAGTGAGGAACTTGTTCCACAACCAGGAGCCACCACTGAAAAGGCAGCTTTCTTTGTTGCCCCCAGCTGAGCCTTGCTTGTCAGAGTCAGGCTCCACTTCTTGAATATAGTGTACTAGTAGTTTGTGGTTAGAAGAGGCATTCTGCCAGATATTGTGGTCCCAAGCCATTTAGGGTTTTACAGGTTAAAACTGGCACCTTGAATTGGGCTCAGTAGTATATAGGCAACCACTGCAAGAGGGGCAGAATTTGTGTTATATGCTAGGACATTCTTGTCCTTGTTACTAATCTGGCTGTTGCATTTTGCAATGCAAACTGCACAGCATTAAAGGGTAGCCTCATGTAGAGTGCATAACAGTAATCTAGTTTAGAAATTACTGAAGCATAGATTACTGAAACCAGGCTATCTCTGTTCAGACAGGGGAGTAGCTGGGCCATCAGCTGAAGCTTGGTAGAAGGCACTCTGAGCCACTGAAACCGCCTGGGCTTCAAGTGACAGATGATTCAAGGAGCATTCCCCAAGCTGTGAATTTGCTCCTTCAAGGTGTGTGTGTGACCCTATCCAGAACATGCTGAATTCCTTTTATCTGGTCAGAAGAACCATCCTCTAACAGCTTCAGTTGAGCTGCTAGCCCTCATCTAGTCAAAGCACCTTGTCAGCATCCTGTATTACCTGGAACTCATTCAAGGTAACTTGTCCAGGCTGTGCTCTAAGATATCTTAACTGTTTCCACCACAATAACTTTGGAGTCTTATGTCCTGTTGAGTGTAAGAGTTTTTTTCTAGAAGTTTATAGCAAATATATTACAGCAGGCCTCATTTGGCCCCAGGATGACCACAAGGCCAACATGTAGTAGACTCTGGACAACCCTAGAGAGCTGCAATGGGTGGCAGAGAGCCCCTGCAAAAATTCACAAAAATGTATTGATCTCCTCCAAAAATTTCCCTGCCCCACACCTAGGTAGCTATCTCTTCTAAACATGCACAGAACCTCAGGCAACATCATGATAAAACAGTTCAATACACAAGACAAAATATCCAAGAAAAATGTACATGCACACATGAGCAAAAACTCATCCAGGTGTCCTCCAGAACAAAACAACCTATTTAGGCTTGTTCCTCCAAACACAAAGAGCTTCAGACAGTCAGTGCATATATATATATATATATACACACCAGGCAACAAGTTCCTCCAGAAAGAAGGGGCACTCTTCCTAGGCCGTTCCACATTCCTGCCCTTGGGCCCCCAAGCTTATCTGACAGCTATAGGGTTCCTGTTTGTTCCCACCCTTTGAGCTGTTTGATCAAGGTGAAGGCTGATATAGAAAGCACAGGATTCCAGTTTCCTCACCTTCCTTCCATTTTTCCTTCCAATTCCTCTGCACCATAACGTGCCAAAAGGCTTTTTGGGGAAAGGAAGAGGGCTGGACATCTGGAGGTTTGCGCTTCCCTTTCCATTGGCTTAGTCACTGTTTAAAGTAAAAAAAAACAAGCAAACAAACCAAATAAAAGGGGTGAGATGCCACCAACAGGGTATCCATAGGCATCCTCTGGAGATGCCAAAACAAAAGATCTTGTTTACATGTCACAAGCAAGTGAACGTTTACCTTTTGTGACCACTGATTACTTCTCATGACAGTTTTTAAAAATTGTAGCTCTGTGCTTAGCATCAGAAATCTTTTGCTGTTCAGATGAATAGCTTTTTTTGTTGAAGATAGGAAATATTCACTAGAAATGCAGTCATAAAATTTAAGATATAAATCTGTGTTCTGGTGCAATGAATTTCCTTGACTCCCTCTACTTTTCAATCATTGCCCATTTTTACTGCCTCATGGCGAAGATGTGCAGAAGGTTTTAGATCAATGGAAAGAGTACAAAATGGGAGTGCCAACTTATGGTGCAATCATTCTTGATGAAACCTTAGAAAATGTAAGTGTGACGTTTATCTGGAGGATTTTCCCCCGTTGTAGAATAGAAAGAATAGTGGATTAGATGTCAAGCTTTAAGGATAACCTATTTGAATTGGATAATTTAAAGGCTTTAAAAAGTTACCTTTAATATGTAAGTACTGGCTTTATAACTATGGAGTATTTGAGATCTTTTCACATATTAGAAGTGGCGGGGGGGGGGGGGGGGGTGTATTTTGTTTTTGCCTTTTCACCCAGGCTTGTTCTGAGTGTTAAACTTCATCATTACCACTGGTGCTTAGCATGTGTTCATTTCATCCCATTCTTCATAAGTGCCTAACAATGTTCCTAAATAATTAAATTTTGTAGGTGCTGCTGGTCCAAGGTTATTTAGCAAAGTCTGGCTGGGGATTTCCAAAAGGAAAAGTGAACAAAGAAGAGGCGCCACATGACTGTGCTGCTCGAGAGGTGATTAAATGGTTTTTCTATCATTTGAAATGATGGTTTTGATGTTTCCATGTGCATGCTTTGAAATGAACAAAGGTTTTGCACCAAGTGCAAGTACAAATGAAGTCATTTCCAGATTTTAAAGGACTTGGTGCCTTTATATTGGGCTGTAGTTCTTTTGTATGGATATGGTTTTGAAATTTCAGTAGTGCCAAAAGTACTGTTCAAGGTAATTCAGCAATGCCCCAAGTCACTAACTATTTTTGGTGATATTAGGCAAGATTGGAAAGCATTTACAATTCATAGGAAGTATAGTCTTCATGGAGATTTTTGTATCTTGTCAGTGTAACAAATATGTAACAGTTTTTCTGTTGAATTGAAGAAACTGGAATGACGATTTATGTACATTAGCTAAATTCATGGTTTTGGTCAATAGGGATAGGTATAGCAGTGACTTTCAAACTTTGTATCTTCAGGGCATCTTCATCACATTGCTACTGTTCTTGGGTGCATACTGGATTCTTATGAGGCATTGTTCAGGTCTGTTGGGCCTCAGTGTTGCCCTGCTTGACCTGAATGTGTGGCCAAAAATGCATCCAGTACTTGCTGTCCTGCTTCTGTTGTTGCTGCAGGGAAGAGGGTTCTAGGCAAACTGTCCTTTAGATATGCTTGATTGTTACTGTTGATTAAATTGAGGTACCTCTGATGAACTTCAGAAGAACTCCAAGGTCTTCTGGAAGAGATTCTGTAAATCAGTGATGGACAGCATGAATATTACCAGGTGGTTCAGATAAATAGCCTTCTTTTCCCCACCTTGCTCCTCTTATTTGAATTGTATTTTGTCTGGGGGCTGGAACATGTTTTGTTTATTTTCAGTTATTTTGGTTGTCTCTCCTCCCCCCCCACCCCGCCCCACTCCAGTACAAAGGCAGTGAATGCTGCCTTTTCTGTGTAGCAGAGGTGGGACATAATTTAACTCCAGACACCCACCCCAGCTTCCTTGAATCTCAATGGAAAAAAGCATTTCGCTTGGAGTATAGAATATTTTTGAGTAGTTACGAGATTTAGATCTTTTTCACAGGCCTTCATAAAGCTATAGGAAAGTGCCTCTCAGTTAAATATTGCAGAAATCAAGCCACTGATGTTCTAAGTAAAATGTATTGGGCCACTGTGTAATTTTTTCAAACCATGAGAAGAAGCAGTTGGTTACATCGTACCTAAAATGTACATGCCAGGTACTGACACTAATCTGTATATTTTCAAGGTACTGGAAGAAACTGGTTTTGATATAAAAGATTGCATCAGTAAAGATGATTATATTGAACTAAGAATCAATGACCAGCTAGCACGCTTATACATTATTCCAGGAATTCCAAAGGACACAAAATTTAATCCCAAAACAAGGAGAGAAATCCGGGTAAATAATCCATTTACCAGTTTTTTGTAAGGTCTGACTGTATTCTTAGGTATTCAGAAATGAATGATATTTTAATACAAAATGAGTGACCAAACTTCATAGAAGTTATAGCAGCACTTTTCTTCTGAAGAGTAATGTGCTTCTGGTATGTATTATAAGTACTGTCTGCTCATTAGATTCACCTGGAAGTGGTCTGGCTGTAATAGCATGCGTTTTCACTAGAGCTATTCCTTTGGTGCCCTGGCCTGTCATTTGGTAGAAACTGGGCAAGTGTGGTGGGGAAAGATCTGTGGTAGAATCCCTATAGCTTTGCAGTGACCACAGCAGGAGAGGGCAGCTTTTTGCTGGTCTGTTCTCTGCTGTTTTTGTTTGTTTTATAGTTCTCCTCCCATTAAAATAAATGGAAGAGAAATGTATTGTGCTTGCTTCGGCTGGTAGAGTAGGTAAGTGGTCCAGTTCAGGGATTTGTTGGAGAACAATGTGGTTTTGAATCCAAACCCCCAGTTTTCTCTAGTCTTCTTCCAATAGCTACTGGGCTTTCTGTGGGTGTATTGGGCCCTCCATAGTGGACATGCTTCCCTGTTGGTGCTGCTTCATTTCATTTTATGAAGGGACATTTCTTTGTCCTAAGCCTTCAGTAGTGGGTTAGGATTGCTCTGTAAATCTTTAACTGTCCCCAAGCAATAATTTCATAAAACCCTTCACAGTAAAAGAGAGAAAATAAACTTGTTTCCATGTGCATTCTACACAAACAATGGGTGGTGAACATAGAAGAAAAACGAGCATGCATATTAGGCATGAACTGCAGTCTAAATGTCTAGGAATAAATTATACTACTTTTCAGACAGTTTTTGTAGTGGGCCCTTCTCCCCTCCCCTCCCCTCCCCTCCCCTCCTTGTAATCTTGAAATTTCTAGAGGTAGATGGGTGTGCAACATAAATAATTTAACATGGTTATTTTCCACTGATGGCAAATTATTTGAAGCACCTGCTCTGCTTCCTGAGTATTTGCAAAGTTATTGTAGATTATTATTCCCATTAATTATCTTTGTAAAATACAGATTTTCTTCTTTTTTTCAGAACATTGAATGGTTCTCAATTGACAAATTACCTTGCCATAGAAATGATATGACACCGAAGTCCAAGCTAGGTTTGGCACCTAACAAGTTTTTTATGGCCATTCCCTTCATCAGGTGTGTTCAAGAAACAAAAAAGATTCTTTTGGGGAGAGGGTTGGTATTCTGAACTCTTCTCTGAGAGTGGGAAACTGGTGACTCTCCAAATGTTGATGGATTCCAACTCCCATCAATCATAAGTAGCATGACCAGTGACCAGGGATAATGGGAATAGCAGTCTAAGAACATCTCAGGGACCACAAGTTCTTCAACGTCGCCTTTCTTCAAGAAACCTGATGTTGCTGACTTAATATTTCATTCTTCACAGACCTCTGAAAGACTGGCTTTCTCGACGATATGGAGATTCCTCAGACAGTGACAATGGATTCTCATCCACCAGTAGCAGCACACCACCTAAACCCAACTCAGAAAAAACACGGTAACAAATTAGTCCAACTTTAACATCTGCCAATAACCTTATTGTATATACCAGAATATTTTGTGTGAATGAAATAAGTAATTAGTAGCTTTAACTATTCAGAATCTTAGATTGGTCTGATCTGGAAGTAGGTTGTTGTCCTGAGCCTTAGGGACAGAAACTGTGACATTCTGTGGTTAAGGAAATTATTGTTTTACACAAAAATAGACTTGAATGCTCTTTAGAAGGCCAGATACCAAAGATGAAACTCAAATAGTTTGGCCACTTAATGGAAAGGAAGGACTCACTGGAGAAGACCCTAATGCTGGGAACAACAGATGGCAAAAGAAGGGGACAGCAGAGGATGAGGTGGCTAGATGGAGTCACTGAAGCAGTCATTGTGAGCTTAGGTGGACTCTGGGGGATGGTGGAGAACAGGAGAGCCTGGAGGAATGTTGTCTATGGGGTCGCAATGGGTCGGAAACAATTTCACAACTAACATAACATAACTTAAGACTTATGCAGGTGTTAGACCCAGTGGTCCAAGGAACAAAAGGTTTTGAATTGTAAAGATTACTCCATGATGCTTATTCCTAGGAGAGTGTATATCACCACCACCACCACCTATATAGTGCTATTTATGCTTTACAAAGAACATGTTTGATTGGTCCCAATGCTAAAGGGCTATAAGTATATAAACAGACATAGGGAAGCAACAGCTGCAGGTACTGAAATTGGAGTAAACAGGAAGAATTCACAGTTATTTTAATTACATGTTTTTCAGTTTAAGTGTAAGGTGTTGTGAATAGGGTATTTTTCCAAAGGCCTATTTGAAAAGCTATGAGAAAGCAAAGGGATGTGAGTCTGTCACAGGTCCAGGCACTACTGTCAGCAAGGAAGAAAGAATGGAGTAGTTTCATAGGATGGCTGACAGTAGTGAAGCAACACAAGCAAATGCTGCAAGAAAAATGAATTGGACTGTAAGAGTGGAGAGAGAATCAAGGCCATAGGATTGTGGCCTATAATTTAAATTAAGGTTAATTCCAGTATAGCCATAGCATGTCTGGAAATCCATCAGCAGAAGTAATTTTGCATCACATTGTTGGTACATTAACACCACTGTGATCTGGTTTGCACAAAATTACTCAGAGTATGGCTTGAATATGGGTTAACATTGAATTGTACATTGCCATTATGTATGAACCCTGTGCTATGGTTTAACATGGGTCGTCAGTGATGAACAACCTAGAATTAACAACCAAACAATAAAGCATGAGTTACCTTCTGCAGTTGCCAGAGATGAACAACCCATACTTACCCAGAGTTAATGCTTGATTTAGCTGGCAAGTGATCAAGCATTGTTGGTTCCCATGCCTTTCACCTACTCCCTCCCTGTATCCTACATGTCCTTGTGATACTTAGCATCTATACTGGCTCTGCTTTTTTCCTGCACTTGCTCCTCTGCCTTTGTAACATGGTAAAACAGTCCAGGAACAACTCACAGTTCTGTGTGGGTTTGCACATAATAGCAGCCCATGGATTAAACACCCTACAGTTCATAATCTATCAATCATCAGACCTTGGGTTATTTTTGAGGGTTCTTCATGGTTAATAACCCATTGTTAACTCATGCTTTCAGGTTGGCATGTAAAAACAATCCATACTAACATAAACCATATGTGCAAACACAGCTTTCTTATCTCTCTGATTTACAGAGGGGAGTTGATATACCAATTCTGAATCAAATGGCAGCATACAAATTTAATAATCACAGGGAAGTTTATTTATAGCAATAGCTGAATATCTCTGTGTGTATACTGCTACTACTTGTTTAAGTCTCCATACTTCTTCATGTGGGTATTCAGTAAATGCAGTGAATTGCAGGTGAATCTTGTCACATGATACAATATCTTGGTACATGGGACCTCTTTTATCTCTAGGATACAAGTTTATCAAACACATTAAAGCTTTGGCTTGCATTTCAATATTTACAATATATTCGAAAAAGATGACTTCAGTAAACCTTAGGCTGTTCCTTCCTCTTGAATTCAGTTCTGAGAAGTGCAAGTTTGTATGCTCAATAGAGCAGTAGGCATCCGTATGTACCTTTGTGTGATGTACATATACATAGATCTGTACATGTTTCTGTGATGTGCTAATGTATTTATATGCATACATGTATATATGCATGTATGTATAATATAAACAAAATGGCTTACTTTCCACAAACTACCCTTCTAGAGGTGAAATGATTGTGGAGCTGGTCATACACTTGCCCTCTTTCATACAGTAGCTGAATGGCCCACTGGTCTACCATGTGTAGAGAATTGCAGGCATCTTGGCATTAATTATATGAAGTGGCTTTCTGTTGATCAGCATACTTTAACTGAAGTCAATGACTAGTGTATTTTTGAATATTAACTAGTGTCTGTCATTTCTTTCCTTTCTGGCACTGTCCTGCATCATGTTATTTTATGTTACTGACAATCAAAGAAGTTGAATACACTAATAGTCATGTAGTTGTTACAGTTTACAGCAATCACCAATGCCTTTGAAACAAGCAGCAATGCACTAAAAAGAAAATCTAACATATAGTAGCAATGGATACTTGGCGAGAATACAGTTTGGCCCTGTTTGGAGGTAATGGTGCCATTGAGTGTCAAATTGTAGGTTAAGTAACCCAAAAGATTTTGGGGACACTGGTTGTGCCCAGATCTTTTCTTGTCTGCATGCTTTGTTTTAATGACATGTGAATAGGATCCCTTGTTGGTTGTGTGTGGGGTAAACAACCCCAAAGTAACTCAACGACGAGCCAACAAACTTGATGTTGTTCAACCCATTAAGTGCTTCTGTTTATACGTAATGGAAACAGCTCTGGAATGCAGCATTCAAGGGTTCTTAATGGAAAAAGGAAGCAGCATGGGCACAACATGTATCCCCAAAATTTGTGGGTTAATTAATACATGATTTGCTGCTAGACGTTACTGTTACATTCGGACAGAGTCTTTGTGTGGTAGCTTGTGGTGTGCTAGTAATCTTCTGTTGAGCTTTCCTAAACAAGATCTCTTTTTTAATGGGTTAGATCCAAACTCCATTATAGCCAGCAGGTATTTACCGATGGTTCTTCAGGAGACCAGTGGACAAAGCACAGGCAATTACAGCAACAGAAGCCATATAACAATCACTTTGAGATGTCCGAACCTTTAAAACTAAAGGTGAGGGTTTTTTTAATTTTAAAATTGTGCTAAATCAGATTCTGTGAAATTTTGGTTCTTGTGTAAATGTTTTTTAACTTCTGGGACTTTTCAAACTCATAGTTTTTAAGTAGTAGAAGAAGCTTTTAATGTATTCATTCTATTCATGTGTGAACCCCAGAGCATACAGATGTACTTTGGTTCTCTTCTACATTGTTATTTCATTCATTTCTATATCATCCAGTAGCCAAAGATCTCTGGGCAATTCACAAAAATCATGATAGTATAAACTCATTGTAGGTAGATATGTTTAAGCATGCAACTTTGAATATTTTAATGTCTGTTCCTTTTTCTTTGTGTTGTGGTTTGCTTAGAACATACGTGGTAATGGCAGAAAGCAATATCAAGACACTCCTAATCAAAAGAAGAGAACAAATGGAGTCCATAGTCAGCCAATTAAACAGAACCAAACTTTGGTAAGATGCAGAAATGTAAATAAGAATTGTATAACACTTTGAAGTCTGAGAAATGCTGGAAAATCTTACTACTTCCTTTAGCAGACCTTTCCTCTAACAGCCCAGCCAATGGGAAATTTGTTTTCACTACTTTGTCTATAGAGGTGATCTGTGATTTATAATTTGTGTATTTACTCAGCATATGCTGTGGTCAGATGAAACATTTTGGCTGGACTCTGGCTGAGGACAGAGGAAAAACTTGTTCAGGATATATGAAGATGTGGCTGAGAAGCATATGTTTAACCTTACGATTTTGCACTTCTTTGAATATAGCAATGCAGTTCTCACCTCAGAAAGATGTATTTTATTATAAAATATGAGACCAAAGTGATCCTCAAGTATAAAACCTTTAACTGGTGCCACTAGAATAAACCCTCTCTATTTAAAAGAAACTTAGCCTGGTCCCTAAGGAGTAGGTATGGGGTTGACCCTACCACTAAAGACAACCTCTCAAAATGAGCAAAAATTAAGATGTTTAGTAACAAATTATTTACAAATTAGATCAAAATGACACTGTACAGGTAATAGGTTGAGATTGCTTAAAAGTAGAGAAACTTTCATTAACTTTTCTTCATTAACACAGCAGATAAAGATAGTTGCCCAAAGTTTCCTACAAGCAGAAACGTGTGCTTTATATCAGTCTTCCTACACTGGGCAGACTTAAAACAGGAACCTAAATTATATTATGTATACTTGTTTTGCTTTGGTGTAATGCATTTGTAAAGTTGTAATGTTTGGTGTAATGCATTTAAAAATATAGTTAATTCAGTCAGTAATTATAAATTACCAATTTATTAGGTTTATGTTCACAAAACTGGAGCTTTCTAGAAGTTTTGGACTAAAATACCAGCATTCCTGATCACTGGCTATGTTGCCTATGGCTGACAAGAACTGAAGTCCAAAACATGTGGAGGATAACCATTTAGGGAGGTTATCCTAAAGCAACAGAATGACATTAGATCTGTAAAAAAAAGTGCTTTTTTATTAAAAAGTATTACGTATTTTCTCATTCTTCCCCCACTGAAAAAAGCCTAGCTTGGTTGTTTTCCCATGGTTTTAACATTTCTGGAAATTTTTACCCCTCTACCCTTCAGGAACTGTAAGGAATGTAAATGTGGGAAATCAGTGAGAGATTTTAAATACAGGTTTCTTCTTTATTAGAAATGTGAAAAGAAGTTACATCCAAGAAGAGTTCAAGAAAACTTTGAAATGGGCAAGTATATTCCTAGTATAACTTCCTTTTCATATACTATAATTTCTGATTATTTTTCTGTAGATGCTATTTGTATTTTTGGAAGCAAGCAACAGCTTGGCTCGGACATATACCCTCATATAAAGGGCCAAGAAATGGTCATGGGCCCAGCTTCAGTACTGAAATTGTATCTTAGTTAAAACAGTTGTTAGGAAGTGTTAAAAACTGTTGACTAAACTATGCTTACTAACCAGGATGTGAATTATGGTAATTCCATGCCTGGGACTTAAAACCACACTTTAACATTCCAGCCCTGAAGCTAGAGGAACAAGAATAGTGGTGAGGGCATGAGTTTATATATCTTTTTCATAGAAGGCAATAAAAATCCTTGTCTGTTGATCTGAGATAGTTGTATTTGAAACCTGAACTGCAGTCTCTCCTCCTGTACCACACTAGTCTCTCCTCCTGTACCAAAGATATAGCAAACAAATGCATCTTGTTTACTCTAGAGTAAATGCAGGGGGCCTGATTCAGTTCAGATCTCAAGTGTTGTGAGGACTAACTCTTCCCCTCACTGAAGTTCTAATGCATGTTAGTCTTCTGACAGTAATTTATATTACCAAATACAGATCTAGTAAGCAGAATTTGGAAATACATTACAAGGAAAGGCCATAGACTCAGATTGGAAACTACAGCAGGGAGAAAGGGTTAAAGCCTCCATACCTTGCACAGGGGGATCTTTATTAGGATTCTACTGCTTGCCTTGGAGTGTAAAAAAGCAACAATAATGTAGATGCTAGCTGTATCTCAGAAGCAATTGGCCCATTCACATAATCACCAGTGCCTACCAAGGCCTGGATCACTGCCTTGTTGTGGTGAAGGGGCTGTGGAGCTCAGTGAAGCTATGAGCTATGCCGTGCAGGGCCACCCAAGACGGACATGTCATAGCAGAAAGCTCTGACAAAATGTGAGCCACTGGAGAAGGAAATGGCAACCCGCTCCATTATCTTTGCCATGAAAACCCCATGGACATTTCCAAAAGGCAAAAAGATATAATGCCAGAAGATGAGCTCCTCAGGTCAGAAGGTGTCCAATATACTACTGGGGAAGAGCAGAGGGCTAGTACTAGTAGCGCCAGAAAGAATGAAGCGACTGGGTCAAAGCCGAAAGGACACTCAGTTGTGCATGTATCTGGTGGTGAAAGGAGAGTCCGATGCTGTAAAGATCTATACTCCATAGGACCCTGGAATGTAAAATCCATGAATCAACATAAGCTGGACGTGGTCAAACAAGAGATGACAAGACTGAACATCGACATCTTAGGAATCAGTGAACTAAAATGGACAGGAATGGGTGAATTGAATTCAGAAGACCATCAGGTATACTACTGCAGGCAAGAATCCCTCAGAAGAAATGGAATAGCCTTCATAGTCAATAAAAGAGTAGGAAAAGCAGTACTGGGATACAGTCTCCAAAATGACAGAATGATCTCAGTTCGAATCCAAGGCAAACCATTCAGCATCACAGTAGTCCAAGTCTATACCTCAACCACTGGTGCTGAAGAGGCTGAAGTTGACCAGTTCTGTGAAGGCCTACAGCACCTTCTAGGATTAACACCAAAAATGATGTCCTTATCATCATGGGGGATTGGAATGCTAAAGTAGGAAGCCAAAAGATAACCGAAATAACAGGCAAGTTTGGCCTTGGAGTACCAACTGAAGCAGGGCACAGGCTGGTAGAATTTTGTCAAGAGAATACGATGGTCATAGCAGACACTCTTTTCCAACAACCCAAGAGAGGACTCTACACATGGACATCACCAGACAGTCAACACAGAAATCAGATTGACTATGTGCTCTGCGGCCACAGATGGAGAAGCTCTATACAGTCAGTAAAAACAAGACCAGGAGCTGACTGTGCCTCAGATCATGTGCTTCTTGTTGCAAAATTCAGGCTTAAATTGAGAAAAGTAGGGAAAAGCACTAGGCCACTCAGGTATGACCTAAATCATATCCCTGAGAAATATACAGTAGAGGTGACAAATAGATTTAAGGAATTAGATCTGATAGACAGAGTGCCTGGAGAACTATGAATGGAGGTTCACAACATTGTAGAAGAGGTAGCATCCCAAAGAAAAAGAAATGCAAGAAAGCAAAACGGCTGTCTGAGGAAGCTTTACAAATAGCTGAGGAAAGAAGGGAAGCAAAATGCAGGGGAGAAAGGGAAAGATACACCCAGTTGAATGCAGAATTCCAGAGAATAGCTGGAAGAGATAAGAATGCCTTCTTAAATAAACAGTGCAAAGAAATATAAGAAAACAATGGAATAGGGAGGACCAGAGATCTCTTTAAGAAAATTGGAGGTATGAAGGGAATGTTTCATGCAAAGATGGGCATGCTAAAAGACCAAAATGGCAGGTACCTAACAGAGGCAGAAGAGATTAAGAAGAGGTGGCAAGATTACACAGAAGAACTATACAAGAAAGAGCTTAACATCCCTGATAACCATGATTGGGTGGTCACTGACCTCGAGCCAGACATCCTAGAATGTGAAGTCAAATGGGCCTTAGGAAGTCTGAGCAACAACAAAGCTAGTGGAGGCAAGAGTATTCCAGCTGAGCTATTCAAAATCCTAAAAGACGATGCAGTTAAATTGCTACACTCAATATGCCAGCAAATTTGGAAAACTTAACAGTGGCCACAGGATTGGAAGAGGTCAGTTTACATTCCAATTCCAAAGAAGGGCAATGCCAAAGAATGTTCAAACCACTGCACCATTGCACTTATTTCACATGCTAGCAAAGTCACACTCAAAATCCTACACGCAAGGCTCCAGCAGTATGTGGACCGAGAACTACCAGAAGTACAGGCAGGGTTTCGAAGAGGCAGAAAAACTAGTGATCAAATTGCCAACATATGCAGGATCATGGAGAAAGCTAGGGATTCCAGAAAAACATCTCCTTCTGCTTCATTGAGTACACTAAAGCCTTTGATTGTGTGGATCACAACAAATTGTAGCAAGTTCTTAAAGCGATGGGACTACCAGGCCATCTTAATTGTCTCTTGAGAAACCTGTATGCGGGTCCAGAAGCAACAGTGAGAACTGGACACGGAACCACTGATTGACTGCAGCCAAGAAATTAAAAGATGCTTGCTCCTTGGGAGGAAAGCTATGGCAAATCTAGACAGTATACTAAAAAGCAGAGACATCACTCTACCGACAAAAGTGCGTATAGTCAAGGCTATGGTTTTCCTAGTTGCAATGTATGGCTGTGAAAGTTGGACCATAAGGAAGGCTGGGTGCCAAAGAATTGAAGCCTTTGAATTGTGGTGCTGGAGAAGACTCCTGCGAGTTCCTTGGACTGCAAGGAGATCAAACCAGTCAGTCCTAGAGGAGATCAACCCCTGACTGCTCTTTAGAAGGCTAGATACTGAAGATGAAACTCAAATACTTTGGCCAGCTAATGAGAAGGAAGGACTCACTGGAGAAGAGCCTAATGCTGGGAACAATTGAGGGCAAAAGAAGAAGGGGACGGCAGGGGATGAGGTGGCTAGATGGAGTCACTGAAGCACTTGGTGTGAGCTTAAGTGTACTGTGGGGGATGGTGGAGGACAGGAGAGCCTGGAAGAATGTTGTCCATGGGGTCGCAGTGGGTTGGACACAACTTTGCGACTAACAGCAACAACCAAGGCCTGACCTCTGATAGCTTTAATAACCATGGTAGGTTGTAGTAGCAACAGCAGCTTATCATGAGGTGTGAACCAGGGCAGAGTGGGTTGTTGCCATGGTTAGCAAGCCGTCGCGCATGCACCCCCCCCCCCCCAAATCCTACTGCAGCTATTTTGACCCGTTTCTATATTGTGATAAGCCTAGGTGACTGGCTCTTGCACCTTGAATATGCACAGTAGCACTGTAGTACGAAGTAGTATTGAATGGATGAAAGGGATTTAAGACCAATGGAAGAACAGGTAGAAGGACTTTGCTGAAGACTTATCCAGAGCTGCATTTGCTAAGCTCATCTTGGGGTTCTCTTGATGACTGGACTGTACACCATCCATCCTCAGCCAAGCAGGACACCATCTTGGCTGAGGTGTTGGGATGGATTTAGGCTAATCAAAGTTCTACAAGGGGGGAGAGCGCTAAGAAACTAGAACCATACAGTTTTGGTACTTGGTCAAAAATCTGTGGTACCAGTTCTGCCTGGCTGGCAAGGTTGTCTGATGCAGTAGCTGCTTGAGCAGCCTTTTCTAGTTGAGAGTTGTCAACCGGGTAAGAGCCTGCCAGATTTTTCAGAAAATTTGCTCCATAGAAGAAAAATTATATGTAACGAATAGGTACTGCTACTTAACATGGAAACATGCCAAACCTTTTGACCATCAGATTTTAACTGATGAAGTATTTATTTGGAGTTTTCATATATTATGGTTTTAATCTGAATATAGATTATTGTTTACTGCCACTGCTAAATGTTTGCTTATCTTTTTAATATAGAAGCAGCATGTGATATGTGTTGTGTCAACGAAGAGCATCTCCTAGAACATGGACAATCAATGTCATACAACGGCCATTGCAAATTCACTTTCTCTTCACAAGCTTTTCTGAGCTTCAAGTTTGACCATGATGCTATAATGAAAACTTTTGATCTCTGATGCATGTTCATTTGCACAGGTCTACCTGAGACTTGGCCTAGAGCAGTTGAGCGGGTTTCTTAAATCCAGCCTTTATCATTTCTCAGGTTTTAAAGCAATGCAGGGACCTAGTGATGGGCTGGAAGGCTTTGTTCTCATTGCAATATAGGAGTGGCATCATACAGTATTGCACTTTAAATGCAGTATAGTTTTTATCTGCAAAAATGCTTTCCAGTATTTCATTTGCTAGTTCCTACCTATGCATTACAGGGCATTTTTCATTGTTTGTTTTACTGTAAGATTAAATTTCAGAAGTATTTTAGCTTTAGTGAAAAACTAACTTCTTATGCATTTAGATTTGTGCTGAATAGTTCTGTTGTTTCTGATAGTTCACAATAGAGTGGCAACTCACATGAAGATTCTGAGGACACCGGTGTTCTGTATTCCTGATTGTGCTATTGTGCTAAAAGGCAAGCTTCTGTTTTGAGAATTCAGAATCATGGTTTTCTGGCTTTTGAACTCTATTCCCTTCTTTTGTCTTCTATTGTGCACTGCATTTGACCCCTTTTTTAAAACAGGCATGTTTGAAAACTATTGACATCTGGCATACTGAACTCTGCTTAATAATTTTTTTCCCTACCTCTGGTGAACTATGGCAGTGATATTCAGACTTTGTCAATTTGGTTTCCTTGTGCTAATTTTGCTGTTTATCTCCATTTGAAATGCCTAATCTAACATTTTTCAGTTGGAAGAACTGCAACTACGCTGAATGTGCAGCATGGAAAAATGTGTATTTGGGGGAGATAACTTCAGTGTATAAAAAGTAAACAAGCCCTTTAAGGTATTTCAAAGGGGGAATGCAAAAATGTTGACACACAGTTTATAACATTTTACAGAGCAATCCTAAGTGGTGCTGGGAAGAGTTGGAGTGGCCACTACATTCCAAGCCCCTGCCAGCTTGGTGTGCACGTGCAGTTTAGCTAGGCCTTTTTGTCCTAGTAGAACTTTTTACTTTAAATCCTCCTCCACTGAAAGCAATGGGAGGAATTCCCTTCTTTTCCAGCCTGGCATTGCTGGATTAGGGAGCTAAATTGGCTTTGGAAAACCACAACCCCTGCCCACCTGGCCCTGGACCTGATGTCAGTTGCGGCTGACAGGAGCATCACCAGGGCTGCAGCAGAAGCTCGATGGCAGCAGAGCTCTTCTGCCAGTGGAGGGGTGCCGCCTCTATATTGTAACATCCTCAAGCAACACTAGTGTGTTAGGATCACACAACTAGAATTTGCAACTGCACAATTTCTTACAGTCGCCTACCTTTCTCTTTGGGCTATGTATCTGATGGAACAATGACTTCAGTGTCAAAATAGTAGCTGCAAAAATGTATGAAGCTATAGCAATTTAACATGAGAAAATAGTGGCAAGGATTTGTTTCTAACGTACTATCTCATGGCTGTACTGAACCTGTATCTGCATGTCAGTCTTTGTGTCTATAAAGCTGCTGCTGAATTTCATCATTTTGCTCAGTGCCCTGACTTTACCTTAGCTGTTTGTATTGACAGCGTGCATTGGAGATTTGAGATTTTTAAAATCTTAGGTGACTTTGAAGATTAAGCTGGAAAACAGAGTATACCTTTTATATTTTTACATACTGCTGATAAAGAACAGTCTGTTGTCTTGCAAAATCTTTATAATGTATTGCTTTGTCAAACCAAAGGACTGCACAGTGCAGTTTATATATACTTACTGTGTCTCTCCTTTTCATGGTTGGGAAAGAAGCCCAAGTTAGCTCTAAATAAATTCAGTTGCATTTACAGGGCATTTTTAAAATTGTTGAGCAATAAATGCTTATATATCCGTCCACCACACTTAGAATTGATTCAAAATAGTATGTTAATTGGATCTGTGGTTCTGTTAAGATTAAAATAGATGAAGGGCTGGTGATTGGTAGAGATGCCACTTTCCCCCTGTTTGCCTTGCATTTCGGGGATAAAACTTTGGTCAGTATTTTGTGTTGGGTTTTTTTTTTTTTTTACTTTTTTTAAGCAATAAAAGTGCCTAACTTTCTAATTTCTCATTCATTGCAAATTGGATTTTCAGACTATTTGTGCCAATTTTCTTCTACTATGTAGCTTGATTTCCCAGGAATGTTACTATTTTATGCTGCTTCCATTTTGATATGGCATTGCTGAATAAGAACACTTAAACTATGATTTAAGATTCATAGTTATGAAAATCTTAAATATGAAATGGATTCCTACCTGACATGAATGCTTAAATTGCTGTACTAGTAATGTGAGATGAATTCTGAAAAGGAAAAAAATGCGTGAGAGTGTCTGCAAATTCTTAATTTGTGTATGTACAAATGTTCAAAGAGTAACTTCAGCAGAGACAGTGTCCGGCTTTTTCATTGAAAAATTCCTAGAGGCTATAAAAAAACCACCTGGGTTTATTAATCTAGCCTTCAAATAAACATGGTAAATATGCAATAATGATCACTTTTACAAGGTACCATTTTTCATAAAATTGTCTTGCTTGATTTTATCGCTATCATGTCTTAGATTGAAAATGAACTGCTTTATGAGTTTGTGGGTGCCCTGCACTGTGAACTTTTCAGGTTGTTTACTTCTTGTTTTATACTAGGGTTTTTTGGTTGTTTGCTTGCAAAGTGTTTATATGAATCATTCTGTAGTAATGTATTCCAAAGTGCAGGCATGTGGTTTACATAGATTTCTATAATACAATGAAGAAAAGGCAAGTTGGTCACTAATGGATATTTGTTCCCTCATGTGGGCATTTTAAATAATAGAAGTAAGTGATCTGTGAATGGACTTAAGATAATCTTCATAGAAATAAATTACTGCTTGAATATTAGGTGCTGATCTCCTGTGCTAGGGTGAGGCGGGGTAATCAATTGTTGCACCTAATTGAATTGTGAATGTAGCTTACCTGATCCTTTTGAGGTCAAATTATTTCTACTACAAAATTCAAAGAACATTTAATAAAAGGCTTAAGCAGGATTCTTACGACTGCATGTAGACCTTCTGGGACAATGTTTTGTTTTGTTTTTTAATAAAGAGTGTGTGTGTTTGTGTGTATGAGAGAGAGACTGAGACTGAGACTGAGACTGAATTAGTGAAGCTTTTACCTTCTTTTATATATGCCTATCCTGACAGGGGTTCTATTGTGGCTCTTCATGTCTCTAATCTTTACTAAGTATGCATGCTGTTGAAAGCTTTTGTATTTAGTACCTGTGCTTTTAAGAACACCAGTTCGAGGACACAGAAGCATTATTCTAGTTTAGCTGCTCTTTAACTTTTCCAGAGGTTACAGGCTGCCTTTAGGCTACAGCATTTGCTTATGATGTTTGGTTTGTGCTGCAGAATTTGCAATAATATGTGTATACAGTTTTTGCACCACTTCTTTTCAGTTTGAATGTGAGCCTTATTAACATGGCTGTCACATATATATGTATGGTGGCCTGCTGCCTGTATCAAACATTTGTGCACAGCCACTACCATAGACAGGGCTAGATTATCACCACCAGTTCAGAAGTTCCAAAATAGGTTTATGAATAAGTTCTTACAGCTTCCAACATGAAGTTTATGTAATGGAGATAGGGTACTGCAAGTGCCACTCTCCCTTCCATTTCTGCTCAATCAAAACAGAATATTTCCAATTTTTTTTCTGCCTGGGAGCAGTGCCATGGCAGAGACTATTCTCAGTTCCAACTCCCAACAGCTTGTGAGTTTTTCCTAGCTGGGCATGCAGATTTTGTTTGTTCCTGTGCAGCTCAAGATACAGGCATTTTTGTAGCAATTTAAGTGTCTAATTCAAATGTTCTGTTCATAATCCCCTATGGTAGAGCCCATGTGACACTAATTTACTATGTGCTGTGAAGGCATCCTTACAGGAAGGCCACCTATTACTGAAATTAGCCATGTGCTCGCGCGTGCATGCGCGCGCGCGCGCGCGCTCTCTCTCTCTCTCTCTCTCTCTCTCTCTGTCGCTCCTCTCCCCATATATATATATATATATATATATATATATATATGCTGTACACTTTTCAAAAAGGGAATAATAGGCTTAAAATGCTTCTTTCTGTTGTAAGCACTGAAAGAAAATATGTCCTGAATGCATATTTTAGTAGCATTTTACCATTTTTCCAAGTAGACTATTCTTATTATTCCTTATTATTGTCTTAAGGATCATGAAAAGGCCAGTTTCCTGATGAACTTTGAACTGCCCTGCTAATTCTTAAAATCAACACAATTTCAACTTTTGTTCTACAGAGAACCATTCAACTAGTTATGTATTCCACATAAGGAAGCTTTGACCTTTTTCCCCTTTACGTAGCAGCATCAGATGCTACATGGCAAACAATTGCTTTTGAAAAGGGTATTTTGGGGCTTGAAAATGGGATGTTATGCAAATATGGGATGCCTGCTTATTCAAGGAACAAGATTTTGTTAGGCACTTAGAATCATTGGAAGTGCTGAAAGTTACTCTTTGGAATTTGGCTAATATGGTTTAAACAGCAAAACATAACTCTGGAGTAAAGTTAAGAATTGTAGTTTTAGCAAAAGAACCCATGTGCAGATTCCTGTTTTAAGTGAAGAGGAGGGGTTTGTGTTTCTTTTTAAATAAAAGATGCGATTAAACTTTTTTCAAGTAAGATAAAGCTGGAAAAAACCTTACCAAAGGTTTAGGAATTGTGCATTAAAGCCTTTACATTTGTATATTAGTCTAAAAATTCAAGAGTTTTTCATATTAAGAAATCCATTGAATGGTCAAAACTTGTAAAAAATTAAATTTAAATAGCGTGGCTTCCATGAAGAAAGGAATAAGAATGTGGCATTAGAAATTTCTACAACTGCATATACTTTATAGAATGGATCAAAATATGTGCTACTTTTCATAGTAACAGGCTTGGTCTCCACTGGAATTACATTTCCCTCAAAAGAATAAACTTATCAACAAATATTGTACATGCCTATCTTTAAATTCAAAATGTGCTTTCTAAACTGGGGTTTGCTAACTGCTGCATTTGTAAGAAATGACATGGCTATAAACAAAGGTTTGGTTTTTAAGGGGGTTGATCTAAAGTTATAACCCAAGGTGTGGTCATAGCAGGTAATGAGATTTAATATGACAATTAGTAATATTTCATGATATTCTAATGTACATGTTTTAAGTAGCCAAACTTTAAAACCAGTACTAGTCTGGGTATGTTTTATCAGAGGTGCAACACAATTGCCACTTTTCAAATTATAAACTGAAATTTTCCCTACCCATTTTGTAACCATGAGAGTGTTTGGGCTTAATGAGGGGTGGGAAAACTTGTTTAGTTTTCAAATGTGTATTTCTTGCTTTGTTATAGGATAGAAAAGTAGGCACAGCTTACTCATTTTGAATGTTAAAAGAGTTTGAGATTGGTTTCTGAAATATACTGTTAGATGCCAGGTCATTTGGTGGGCTCATTTTTGTATGAACAGTCAGAAGTTTGTTTTCACTGATTAATGCTGTATTTATATTTTATAAAGACATTTTTACTGCTACGTATCTTAAGTGGTTGACTTGTGGGTAACTGTATAACTTGAAATCTGATCGTTTTTTTCTGAACTGCAAAATCTGCTGGGCCATGATTGACTTACTATTGCATAGAATTTTGGCATTGCCTTCAGTGCCAGTGGTGTGCGTTTGAATTGTCAATACAAGTGGAATTCCAACATATATAAGAAAGAATGGGGTGACTGTATTTCCCCACCCCTTTTCTTCCCATGTTGAAAAATAAATTGTGAAAGTGGCTTAAAAGATGCTTAGAAATCTCCCTACGGTTAGGAATGTTGTGTTAAGTAGTCATGGAGAGACTTCTGTGCACCTTCAGCCAACATAGTTGTGGAAGTGCTCATCAGACTTGCCTTCCTAACGGAGGCTGGGACTGATATATGTGAGTAGTACCCACCTCCATATGAATTTGAAATCCTAGCCTGAACAAGGCTAGGAAGCAGCATTTTTCAACATTGTACACTGCATTAGTTAAAGGTGGTAGACTTGCATTTAGAACCCACTGAATGTGAGAATTAGGGACACAAGGATTTTGATTAGTTCATACATTTCTTTTGTGACAGTACTTGATTTATATGTACAATTTGTCTATCATTTGACATTAAAACAATTTATTTTAAAGTTTATTTCATGTAAGCAAATCAAAAATCCCATAAAGGCTTGTGCCTCAGAATGTTCATACAGTGTTGTGCACATAAAAGCATCAGTTTGGACATCTATTTCCTGCCCTTGAAGTTAAGATTGTCCTGTAACCTTTTATAGAGAGGAGGAATTACAAAGCTGACTCATAAAACATTTCGCATTAGAAATTTATTCAGAATATAAGAACATTTGTAAAAGTATTATAAATGCCTCTGTATAAATAAATGCAGTTTGTACAATTCTATATCAAATAAAACACAAAATTGCTATTTTACAGCTGCTAAGGATCTACCGCAATTGGAATAATTTGTGAAAATTGTAGTTTTCAAAGAAAAATGCTAGTTTAAGCAGTAGAACAATACAGACATTTAATGCAAAATTAATATGTGCTTTCTAAATAATACATTCAAGCTGGTGTAAAAGGTTTATATCTTAAGTAAGTTTTAAAACATATTCCATGCAATATTTGACAAACTCATCAAATTCTAGAAACCTGTTCTAATAATACAACTTAAAGGTGTCACATTTAGACTAAAATGGCTGAATTGACTAGATCTGACATTAAAAGAAACTTATCTGCTTAATACAATGGAATGGACTGTTTTGAATTTGTGACAAATGATATTAACTCAAGCTGCTGTAGCACACATGTGTTGGCAGGTCATAGCCTGGCCTGTTGGGCACAGATGGCATTGGATCCAGATTTTGTCCTGCCCTTGGGAGCATCCCTTAAATGAAGTTCTGTGAAGGGAGTGTGCCTGCTGGTGGAAAAAGGCAAGGCAACTTTTGCTTATTTCTTCTATAGTCTCTTGCACTTTCTGGAGCTGTGTGGGAGGTCTGCAAGGAGAGAAAGGGATTGGAGAAAACTGCCTCCCCATTCTGCAATGTAGGATCTTCCACTGGAGCCCTTCCATGTACAGAAATAGCTCGTTTGCAGGATGTTTGAATTTTTTTTAAAGCTGCATAACTGAATTATTTTTGGTATTTACTTGACTTAAATGTCCAAGTCCTCCTCTCTATTGAAGCTAATGTTTCTCCATAAGCTTGAGTAACTTTTAGAATATAAGCATCCTTGACTTCACAAATTTGTGATTCACAGTAGGCATATATAAATTTTTAGGGTTAAGTGGCCACCCTCCTCTCATGTCTGTAACAGATTAACTGGTTAATGTATTTGGTTAGTTGAGGTCTTCTAAATTACTGTTCCATGCAACTGTTTTGAATTAGTATTCTTTCTGAATTTCACTAGGAATTACAAATAACCCTTCACTACATCCTGTTGCAAATCACTTAAATACAGGCTGCGGGGGGGAAAGGACCTAAATCAGGGTATTCTCCTTCCACCTTGCCCCAAACACAAGTGATTTGCACTGGCAGTGAAAATGGTGGTGACTTGGTTACATTCCATTCCTGCAAATGGACACTGCTTGCATAGCACTTATTTGCATGCACATAAAGCAACAGAAATACATGCATGGAAGCCCATGTTTGTTGTGCAGTATTCTAGATCAGGACAATTCAATTGCTCTTCCTCTTCATGTTATGTTTACAGAAAATGCTGCTGCACTGGCAAAATGAACCTATAGGCAGAGCGTTGTGTAGCAGTCTCACTAAGGTCACATGGGCAAACTCTACATGGCAGATGTGTATACAGCAACACAAATGCTTATTTTTTTGTACACAGTGTGGCTGGATGGAGGGGCAGACTATTAATCTGTACCAGGGCAGGTTCATGTCATCACTGGTACCTTAAGTATATTCATAGTTCCATGAAGCGCCAACTGCATGCAAATAACTTCTGGGCCAGGTGTATTCTGCTTGGATGTTATACTGAAATCCTTATCACATAGGTGCAGAAAAATAATTTTGCTTAAGGATTTGTGTTTGTATACACACGCATGTATGTGTACATATAAACAGCCACATATTGAAATGTCTAGAAGGAAATCCTACATGTTACTAGGCAGGTATCTTACCTGATGAACAAGGTAAAGTTTCAGTTACTTAGTATTTAAAACCAGTACTTAGTCCAGTAAATCAACATGATTTGTGGACAGTAAATGCTTCAGGATAACAGTGTTGCTTAAGAGCTAAAATTGACAAAATGAAAGTTGGTTTTACGGTTGTCCCACTGAACAGACAACAACAGTTAATTCTTCCAGTAAATGGTGACATGTACTACTGGAGGAAAAAGCATAGGTAAGAAAGGGGGAGGATTGCCTCAACAGCACAGGGAAAAAACCTGAATGGAACAGGAAAGCAGGGAACCCTCAATATTCTATAATATGTGTTATGGGACGGCTGTAAAAACATTCACTGGGAATAGGTATGCTGATACTATAAACAGCCAAAAGAAGAGAAAAATGTCCAAAAGCACTACCTGCCTGGCTGTACAATGAAGACATCATGTTCCCTAGCATCTGCTGGAGAACTGCAGAGGAGCATATACATTCTTTCGATACCTGATGAAGCAGCAGGTGGAAGAACTACCAATAACCTTCCAGGAGGCATTGGTGGTCAGGCAGCCACTCCTGAACACAGAATGCATTTTTTAATTAGTATGGATCTGATGCTTGAATTGAGGGGAGTTCTGTAAGACCTTGGAGAAATAAAGAAAGGAAAACTGGAGATGGGAAGCTTAAAAAGAGGTTCTCTATAGAAATCACTGTGTGTGCAGAAAATGCCATAAGAAAAAAAAAATCTGGATCTTACAGGACATAATCCAGGGACAAGGCTTACATTTTTAAAAAATCTAAGATTCTGGCCTAAACCCAACTGGAGGATGGCTTAGAATATTTCACATGTAAATCCAAGTGAACGAGACCTTTTTATATCTGTGGAAGCTTCCATGTAAATGTACAGCTTTTGCCAGTGGAAGAGCAACCGAGACCATGGCATTTGTCTTGGAGGTGCCACTGATCAACCTTCAAGCATGAGTAAAGAACTAGGTAATAGGTCCATGAAGGTGTAGAACCAAGACTAGAATAGAAGCACATCTATTACTGCTACACACAGAAGATAGGGAGGGAATGGAAAGCAGATTCTATGCAGACACATTTGCTACCTCATCTTTTCTGTCTGAATGAGAATCGGATAATTTTTAATGAATGAATGTGAAGTGAGCCTACAACATAAAGCTAGCTGTTTTGGCAATAATAATCTCAATTTGGCACAATGCAAGTATCATGCCAGATGTTGAACCCAAAATGGTTGTCCAGACAGGCAGCCATGGTTTAAAGCCACTTACCTGCTTCTGTTCTCAAGCTATACAGCATACCTTTACTATGGTATCTCAAGACATGATGCCCAAATTAAAGGACTGCATGCTCAATTATAGCCTATTTTGATGGCAAATCCTTGCCTACAACATCAGAAGGTATGGCAAACTCAAAACTATTGCGAAGCTTAATCTTCTGAAAAGTTTCCTGTATTTGAGTTTGCTATTGCTGGCTTTTAAATAATCCACACTAGTGACATTTCCATTGCTCTGAAGCACCCTTTCACTCTGCTTAACAGGCTGGCAGTGGAACCTTACTTGATTTTCAGGCTCCAGTTCTCTTGTTACAGCATCAGCTCTAGCCCCAAGATTGTGTTTGGTTTTTAAAAGATAAATTAGGGTTCTGTGGAGAAGCAGCCAGACAGGATATCAGCAAAAAAATCTTATAAGAACTATAAATAAGCCCTCTGGGGTATATAATACAGTCGCCAGTATAATTTCAGAGATGGACGTAATTGGTGAGACTCCAAAAGAGAACAAAGACGTCACAAATGTATTCAGTAAAGTACTGTTTCCTTGTACTGTTGTCACAGTAAATAAATTATGTTTTATTTACATCAGGGTGAATAACTCATGGACCTTGTGGTCCCTTCGACTCCCAAAGTCACTGCCACAGAATTACTGACAAATAATAGTGCAGTGGAAATAGTAAAAAGGTGAGAATGTGGCTTTTTTGTCACTGCTCAATTTTGTTTTGCAATTCAGCAGCAGTGTGTGCCTGGGCCCCTGGACCTCTGAAATTGCCCACAAAAGGTTAACTGCCATTATTTAAAGAACAGAATGACTGAGGCCACTGAACCAAACTCATCTAAGTAAAATGATAAAATACAACAAATACAACAAAAACAATCCAGAACATGTAATGGAATGATGAACTTTCAAATGGGAATGAGTAAAAGACCATTTTCTTGTACACCAGCACCTGTCTAGTGATGATAAAAGGAGCAAAATATGTGAATTGCCATCATTACAGCTCGCCTCTTATTCTAGCAAGGCATTCTTACACTTAAAGAAACATTAATATTTTTCTCTGTATATTCTCCACTTAGTAAAAATTTTCTTAAGGAATATGTGGCAAGTTGCTTAAATGGTGGGTAAAAGGTAACTAATTGAAGTGTAAATGGCCAATTTTGCCACAAGAATAGCTATACAATGTTGGAAAATAAGCAAGAAAAAAGATGACAAATCATTTTCAAATGAGAACTAAACATGCACAATTTAATGTTCACATTTGTTTCAAAATGCACACATATTTCTTTAAAAGCTAAACTTAAATCAGAATTCCTTTTTGGATAACTTGAATCAGTTTAAAGGTACTGATAGGTCAAAACCATAGCTGCACACCCACTTGAGGTACCTGACATTTCCCTGCCACCCAGTTTGAAAAATCACAGCTAGCTGCAGCAGTGTCATAGAAAAAGAAACAAGTCCAAAATCTCAATTGCATTGACCCACACCTCAGGTTAGCTACAGTGAAGATAATATGGAAGAATACTAGAAGACCTTAAAGGAGATTCTGTTAAGACTCTTGTGGGAGTTATTGCAAGCATTCTGAGCATCACAGTGTATGTAAGGGGGAAAAAAGATCTAAGAGCAAGGCACAACAGGGCTGCAAGTGCCATGTCAGACCATTCTCTCCTTTGATTCCTAAAGATTAATCCAATTCTTCTGTCTGGTTGCACTCAGATGCCATGAGTTATTGCTCCATTTATGCTCAGAAGATAAAATAAAGCACTGGCTATCTTTATTAAAGATACTCTACACTCCACTTAAATTAAAAACTCAGGCAACTAATTTTGTACAGTGGCCTCCATTTCCACTGAGTTGGTAGTTTCAGAAAAGAACCAACTACCACTGCAACAGCCTCTTAAGTGTTCACACAACAGCTTTGTAGGAAGTATATCTACATTCATTGATCAGGCACATTTCTTACCAGCTAGCCCATTTGCAGACAAAAGGGGGCAACAGATCGAGTATTCAATTACTGTACAAGAAGGATATAGTCAGACCTATGAAAATCATGTCCAGCTGCACCTTTCACAACGCCTCTCAACCAAACCAGATACAACAGCATAACTTTGAGTCACTTCCACATGGTTGATTTCTCAGCAACGGTGTTATCAAACGAGACAGAAGTGCACTGTAAAAGAGGCATTGATACAAGTGTGGATTGGTGATACTTTACCCAGTTTTGAGATACAATTCTGTGTCTACCTGTGTTGATCCTACAAAGGTAGTAAGGACTAAAATCAGCAGAGGAAGTGAAATATTAGCCAAACAGATTGCGGGTGCCAGGTGCTGAATCTGCAGAATCAAAAACATCCCAAAACCTCCAAACTCTTCTGGGCATTGCTAACTGCATGCATGCTGTGCTAGCTGTCTGCAGGCTTCCGCCACCTGGAGAGGCAAGAGTGAAAGATGTGACCCACCATACTGGGTGCAGGAGTGTGCTAATGCTTGGCTTGCCTGGTAGCTAGAAGCTGGCTACAAATAAATGGCTGCCTAGCCACAGTGGACCTGGTTGTGCATTTTCATTGCAGAGAAACAGGATGAGTGGCAGAAAGGAGATGATGGGAAGATATGCTACCATCTGGAAGAAAGCTACCTGTTTAAGCCTTCCCTCAAGAATACAATGGACTCAAAAGAGAGTGTTTGATGAACGAGAATGGAAGGGTGTTCCTACCCATATAAATTTGAAAGAAAAAGGAAACATCTGCAACGGTGAACAAAATAATTACCATGATAACATATACATTTACCATCAGGCACTGTCTGAGTATGCACATCCATCCATCCATGTCTTTTTTGTGTGTTGCACCTTCCCATAGCTGCATACTGTCAAAGCCACAAACTCTCTCTGAAGCACTGACCTCCAACTTTGACCATTGTTTTGGGTCCTGTATTCAACACCTAAAAAAGTCTTGCAAGGAGTCATATTTTGCAATGGCACAGGATTTTTTAAAAAATTCTTTGCTTAAAGTGAAGTTTCATTGGTATGAGGTCGCGAGTTCTCCTCTTCCAGCAAAGCAATTCTTTGTTTGAGCATTCTCACTTGAGTCTCATGCCTTTCAACCATAGCCATCATTTGGGATTCCAGTTTCTTCAGCTTGTTTTGATGCTTCTTTTTTGCTTTCTCATAGGCAGCCACAAGGTTACTGTTTGGAAACAAATAGTATAAAAGGTCCTTCAAAGGTATTTATATAAAAACCTTAAATTGCATTGGCCCTATTTCATGTATAGATTTCTCCATTAACTTCTGGAAGCCATCTACCCCTGCCCTTCCAGTCCTAGCTGGCCATGCAGCTCTTCTGTGCAAGGAGATAGATATTTACATTCTTGAGTGCTTCTCTGAGGATAAGCCCAACACTGTTGTCTGATTCGACAGTGTGGTTCTGTGTGCTAACAGAACCTCTTTCCTGCATACTTCATACTCAAAGTGGTTCATAAAAAAGCATGACAAAAGACGAACATAAACTGGCCCAACTTGGTGCATGCTTCTTTACCTGTTTGCTCTTTTCAAGTCATTAACGAACTCAGCAGACTGCTGGTGCCGGATTTCACTGCTCTTTGTTAGTCTTTCTAAGGCACTCACCAACTCCTGCACTCTTGCTTTCAGTTTCTTTTCTCTGAAAAGTATAAAGCATAATGTTCACCACCTGTCAGGTTGCATGTAGGACAATTTGTCTAAATTAGTAACGGAATACATTAAAATAATGGAAAACCACAGGAGTTGTGTTATTCCTGTAACATGGCAATGCTGTTGTTTACCACACTTGCATTAACCCCACAGCAAGAGGACTGGTGCTGAGTAAAGGAGACACTTAGCAGATCTTCTCTGTGTGATCTGGCTCTAAGTTGCAGGGGATTAAATTAGTAGCATGAGAAGCAGCAATGCTGCAGTAACTTTCATGCTCCTGGGGTAGTGAGAGCACTGGGGCCAAAGCAGATCTGTGGAGCTAGCAAGCCACATCAGGGCAGCTTCAGTGGATGAGAAAGGTACAATGCTGCCAGTTTCTGAACTCTAGTAAAGTTCTATCATGCAGAAAGCTATTTCTTCACCTTATTTCAGAACAGGAAAAAGAATATTATGTGCCAAATAGATGCCTAGTTTGCCATATGCATCTGCACTGGGAAGCTTTATGTCTGCCTTAAGTTTTTAATAATCCTAGGCTGAGGTTATGCTATGTTCCATAGTTTTATTTGTAAAAGTCAGAAACAATAAGAACTGGGATCTGTGAGACACAGTGAACTCAGACTCAATTGTCACGATGACAGGTACAGTTTCTAAGCCTGGGACAGAATGAACTTTTCCTTTGAAAACTGTGATCGGTCCCAATGAATAGCTGCAAGGCAGGTAAACATGCTGCAGAAAGTCCCTAGGACACCAGTACTACTTTCAAGGAGCTGAGAGACAGAGTATCTGTCAGAACAATTGGACCAGTGAAAAATGGGTCAGGTTTTATATCTTTATTAGCGTACCATGCTGCATTGGCCTGCGGGTGGCACTGTTCTACAATGACAGAAGGTGGCAAACAGGGCTTTCAAAAGGGCAGAGTATAAATCAGCTCTCTCTCTCTCTCTCTGCATATACACATTTCTCTTTCAATGCTGCAAACGGTACCAAAATAATGCAGAATACCACTGTTAGGGGTCCTTCCTGTGTACCCAGACAGTCCTTCTTAAGGAATAGGCCTCTCATAAATACAGAGGGGACTGAATGCACTCGGGTTCCTTAGTAAACCTTGTTACTGCATTCCATTCATTTTAAGAGGCCATTTTTATAGGTTAGGCTCCAGAAGTTGCACATGAGGCAAGAGCAGGATCCTCATTGGTTTGAGAGTTGTTTTCACAACAGCTTCTGCAAACACAGATTTGGTGACTGGTCCCTTTTATTACAAACCCACCCCATGAATATTGTAAGCCTTGAATAACTGAGAATTGTGTTAATATCAGCAAATACACACTTTACAAAATACTGAAGGGGGGGGGGGAACGGGATAATCTCTCCACATAGCATTGTCACATTCAATGTGACAATGAATACTCCGAGATGAACTTCTGGAGCTGCTTCTGAGTTAGACCTCCAATCTCTTAAAGCAACATGTCTATATCACAGATCAATGACTCTGGGATCTCAGGCAGTAGATTAAGGAATTAGGCTTAAGGAATTAAGTTTTTGCATGCAAAGACTTTGATCTATCCTGAAGGAGTGAGTCTTCCCCTAAAACACAACCTTTGCTCCTGACACTATAGATCAGCAGAACACAAAGCAGCAGATGCAAACATCAACTTCAAAAAAATACAAACTGATACTGATATTTACAGAACTATTATATAATCATCAATATTGGAAGTCACCTTTGTTTACTGTAGCTCATGTTATTTATTATTCCAAAAACCAGAATCATCACAAATGGCAGCCTATACAATAGCTAAGTCAGAACACTTGCCATGGAGTAGTGAACTGATGATTTAGAAAGCATATTCAGGGTATTTCTATGCTCACAAAAATCTGTTTTCTTCCCCTTAGAGCCAAGTGCTATAACTTATATCTTCTGGGCACAATCCTATGGTTGTTTAGGCAAAAAAAAAGTACTACAGCTCTTAGCAATCCCCCACTGGCCATATTGGCTGTGGAATTGTTGGAACATAAAAGTTTTTTTCTGTCTAAACATGCGTAAGATTGGACCCTAACTTAGTCAAACACTTCACTTAGATACTAACTTTACACATTCTATGTGGGTGCGGCCAGTGGGTGTCGACCCTCATTAACATTTCCAACATGAAAAACAAAGCTTCCAGGTTAGAAAAAACTACTTGCTGGGGTGATATCCAAAAGAACATGCAAGATTCATTAACTGGCACCACAGTTCACACCCACTGGTATCTCAGTTCCTCCCCCTTACAAAGAGACTCAAGCTGCTGCTCAAACGATAAGAAGAAATGGTAAGAAGGTAAGCCTTCTACAAACCAACTGATCCCTGGCTTGAAAAACAAATCTTGGAAAATAGCCTCAGATTTCTTCTGTGTAGCAGGTTGATCACCACCTCCGTGGCATAACAGGCAGCCCAGAGTTCTGCATACCATGTCAGTATGATACTACCCGAAATGCTTAGGACCCTTGGCCAGCTGAATATCATTAGCCTTGCCCTTAGTGATACATCTCCTAAGATTAGTGATATCATCATCATCATCATCATCATCATCATCATCATCATCATCATCATCATCATTATTATTATAACATTTCTATGTATTTTCTAACATCTTTAGAAATAAGCTTCCAGTGAATTGCCAAGAGTTGAATGTTTCAAATATTCCCTTATTTTGAAAGTATAATATTTGAGATACACAGATATGGGGTGTTTTCATTCAGCAGTTTAATGGTTGCTGCACAAAATTATTTCCATGTAGAAAAAAGCGTGCACAAGAATAAAATCAAGTAAGTGGGTGTTTATTCCACTAGCTATACATGGATTGGAAGTTGGAAAAAACAGTTGTTTATTCTCTTCTATACTCCCTGCCTCCTAAGCAGACATTATTCGAGCATGCTGAAGATACTTTGCAAATTTCTTCTCTAGAGTAGGACTAGTAATGCCATAGCCCCTTCCCAGATATGCCCACCTCACCCTCCAGTTTCTCTGATGATAGTTCTGTGACAGGTCCAGCTGAGAGGATAGTGTTATAAATACCAGGATACCTGTAGTGGGGTTGGATGGTGAGTTGTGACCTTCCAACCCTTCAAGTTCTTCAAGATAACGATAACCACTTAAAGAATTAGATTACAGGAAAGCAACTTGTCCTTCTTTGTAGTCTCTGTGCATCATGCATATGAGTTATTAATCAGCAGACTTAAATCTAGAATAGGCTGAAGGCCCCCATCTTTTACTCTCTACTGTAAAATGGAACATGAAGCCCATGTCACAGTACTGAGAATCAATCTGTTCAATGGACCCATTCAGATCAACCCAGTGAATACATCTTGTAGAGGGGAATTGGGGGTCATGTCCCTTGGGGACCTAAGTGAGGGGGAGAAAATGCAATTTAGTTATGTATTTATATTGCACTGTAACAAAAATCCATTTGTTGTTATTAATGTGGTGCCAGGCCTCATGATACCTGCTTAAATGGGTACTGACAGTTTGCAGGTCAGCACCATCAGGGCAAAGACACTGTTTCTGTCAGTCATGCTGCTTTCAGCATGATTGTTGTCTGTATCAAGTCAAAGGAAATGGGTGGATTGCTGGGATCCTGCCTTCCAAGAGGAACCATCAGTGGCTGGTTAACTGATACTAGCTTTCGGACCTGTTCCAGTGTTAAGGGCATTAATAGTAGGGCTGTTGTGGTGCACCCACACCCAACTTTCTTGGCTTATAGATATTATCCAAGCTATCCTCTGTTGGTGAATTAAACAGCCTTGTTTGTCAAAAGACTTCTGGTGAGTCTTACAAAGTACAGCCACATGTCTCTGTAGCATTATCATATAGCATATCAGCACCAGACACTGATGAAGCACCAAAATCTGCTATACCTTTGGCCACACTAACTTGTTATTTAGCTAAAGGCACAGTTTTGTTTTTAAAGAGACACATCAATTATTTCTTTTTGCCTGGCAGATTTTGAGCAGAGAGGCTATCTTCTTGGGTAAAAACTGGTAGTAGATCATACATGTCTGGTAACTCATGATGTGAAAAGAAGTAGCAAAATAATATTTTGCATTATTTCTTTCAGTTTATGCCTTTTCTGCTTGGTAAGAAATGAATGGCGTTTCAAGGAGGCCTTGTTGTGGTCAGACTCAACAAAAGATACAATCACTGTGTTGGATGTGGAAGAGGTTCTCCATCCATTTAAGAACTGGTGGAGCAAAGGAAGGGTTTTCCCAAGACTCCCCCAGTGCTCTGAGAAAAGAAGAGACAATGCAAAGTGAATTACTGGATACTCTGTGTAGTAGTGGGCATTCTCTCCTTGGTGATTTTCTGCCTCATGAATGGGATGGAGAGTGAGAGCACAGCCATTCCAAGGTTCTAGGCAGGACAAACTGCAGTACCTTTATCCAGGCAGAAATGGTCAGAATGTCTCCATTAGTAAGATTTAGGTGTTCCTTCTGGAATATGATGAGTGACTACCAGGGAGACAGTACACGGGCCTCCTCACAAAGTAGCTGTTAAGAGCTGATTTCTCTTTCTATAAGAGGCCTTGTTCAGGGATGCTGGGAAGATCTGTGGGGGATTGGGCATCAGTGGAAGAGGTGATGGCTGAAAAGGTTCTTGCTGAGAGATGGCCAGATCCTCATGCAAGCCAGGAGATGTTATGTATGTTGGTGAACGTGTGTCCTGGTTTATTAATTCTAACTTCCTTTTCAGCTAGGTAATTGTATCGGTACCTGGGGGAAGCTTAGACTTGGTCTTTTTGGGGATGGGGTGATCCAGGATTGGCACATTCCTACAGGTAGGTCCCAAAGGGTATTCTTGTTGATATGCTGGTAGTCAAAACTGGTCAGCTTTGCTAACAGGGATAGTAGTGATGCCAATGATGATGCTATAGCCATTGAGGTTTTCAGCATGATTCAGACTGTTTTACTCAATCTGCCATCTGCAGAGCACAGATGAAAGCACGAAAGCACTCG